GTGTGTGTGTGTGTGTGTGTGTGGATCTGTCAGGGAGATACAGCCTGCGAAGCGTCTTTTTAGCCAATGATGAAAACATTAGTTTGACAGCACACGCACACCCACAGAAAAACGCAGACAAACCGGGATAATGAAAGTTGAAAAGCCTTCAAAAAATCCCCCCGACGTCAGCAGTCGGTCGACTCGCAGCACCGTCACGTAAACAGAGTAAACAACTCCACCACTGAACAGATCATAATACCAAAAACATAGAGGAAAAAAAACAAAACAAACAAAAGTAGTAGCTTTTAGCTTACTTTGTGTTAGCATAAATATTTGTACGTTCTCCTTAAAAAAACATCTGTTAAATAAAAGGGGTTCACGTCTGGTGGTAAATTAAAAAAAATAAATTTTAATCACTCGTCATTTTCTCTTTTGATTGGTTTATTAGTCCATTATTATTATTATTATTATTATGAAAAAGAATTATAATTTGAACGTTACTGTTGTCATATTTGTGAAAGTCTGCTGTAACAGGCAGGGGGCGCCAAGCACGTGGTTCCACTGGGAATCAAACCCAAGACTGCTTACTGCTTACTGCTTACTGCTAACTGCTAACTGCTAACCGCTAACCGCTTACTGCTAACTGCTAACTGCTTACCGCTTACTGCTAACTGCTAACTGCTAATCGCTAACTGCTAACCGCTAACCGCTTACTGCTAACTGCTAACTGCTTACTGCTTACTGCTTACTGCTAACTGCTAACTGCTAATCGCTAACTGCTAACCGCTAACCGCTAACACTCCTCGACCCGACACCCCCTCTGACAGCGTGGGTTGTGCTGCTGCTGCTGCTGCTGCTAGGCTACAGACGGCGCCATCTTCAGGACGAACCGGTGTTCACTTCGACAACCAGGCTACGACGTGTGACATCACGGCGTCGAACACCCACCGTAGCTCTGCGTGGTCGGGAGAGCAGGAGGAAGTTCCTCCCCGTGACTGGAGAACCGATGAGTCTTTGAGGACGAACAGGGACAGAGACAGAAAAAACACTCAGTACACAGTACTCCACAGTACTCCAGAGTACTCCGGCAGTCGGAGTACTTCCACTGGACGTCTCACCCACCTGGACCTGAGCGGGGGGGGGGAGGAGAGCGGCCAGGCCGGGCCCCAGTAGCAGCAGGTAGAACCGGGTGGTGAAGAACATGTCTCGGTGTGTCCTGGTCCTCGCTCTGTCCTGCTTCTGTCTCCGTGGTTGGACAATATTTGCCACCAGGGTCTGTGTAACATGTCTCCTGTGTAAACAGGACAAGGTTGACACACACACACACAC